TGGTTTATTTGGGTTGTACAGTGGTGGTGTTTTAATTCCTATCATATTTTCTTTGTTAGAATCTTTTTATTTTTTTTTTTTTTGAGGCAGTGTCTCACTTTGTGGTGCAGGCTGACCTTGAACTTGAAGTAACCTCCCTGCCTCAGCCTCCCAAGTGCTGGCATCACAAAATGTTTCAACAAAAGTGAACTTTACCTTAATTTTACATTACTTTTAGTATAGTTTGTAGAGGAAAGGTAGGAGTCTTAGTTTATTTACGTTTTCAAATTAAGAGTTGTTTCCCTGGCACCTGCCAAGGGACTCATAGAAGCAAGCTGTCTACAGTTGTAAAATGATTGAATATATCAATAGAGTATAATGTGATGTTTCGCTCTAATTATACAATACAGAAAGTCTTAGTGAAGCAAATTAACAACATCTGTTGCCTTAAGAGCTTAACTTTGTGGTGAGAATGTTACAAGTCTGTAGTTGGAACAGTTTTGGATTAGATTGTTAGCTCTGGTCATCGTGCAGTGCAGCAGAGCCCCTAAAACTTTTATTTTATTTTTTAAATGTATTTTAGTACAAAGTCTTATAAGCTCTCACTACAAGATCGGACTTGTAGTGATCCTCCTGTTTTCAGCCTCCCAAGTGCTGGGATTACAGGCATGAGATCCCTGCCCAGTCTCAGTCCCTCAGGGCCTGGGCCAGCGTTGGCATGGCAGGCCAGGGATCGAACCCTGGTCTCTGCACCTTCCTAAGCAGGCCTTTTAGTCTTGTGAGCTATTGGACTTGTGCTTCCCCCTAAAACTTACTCCTTCAGTCTAATTTTGTACCCTCGATCAGTGCCCCTTTTCCCAGTCTTCCTCTGTGGCCCTGGCCTTTGTCAGTCTCCTTCCTACTTTGTCCTGAGATGGACTTCTTTAGAATTCACTTAGAAATAACATCATAGCAGAATTGTGCCTGGTTAGTTTGCTGGGTATGATATAACACATACTCTCATGTTTTGAACTGTTACAGCTGCTTTTCTTCTTAATCAGAGCCTATTTTCTTTGGCCAGGGTCCCCCTCCTTAAGGACCCCGAGTTTCTGCCCAGGCCCAGCATTAATCATTAGTGACCTCCTGGCAGAGCATGGTGTCCCAGGTTCAGTTTGTTCCTTTCCTACTCCATACCTGGAATGATCCAATTTTTCCAAAATGCTGTGATTTCTTTTAACATAAAGTGGAATTTCAAGATGATAGTTTGGACTTTCCTGCCATGGTCATTGGTTCTGGGGAAATAATTGTGTATACGGCATGCGTTTTTATGGGTATGTGTATATAGGCTAACTCTGTCATGCTTTGAGCTTGGGAAGGAGAAATGCTGGAGATTGATGGTGGTGATAATCACACAATGTTAGCAAATGGTACGTTTCAGATTGTAATGCTTTTGAGTTTACATTGGTACTTTGCATTCAGACTCAGATGTGTGGGGTTTTGTCTTCTGTCTGTAAAGTTGTGGGTCCACATTTCCTTATAAAGAATCCTATGAGCTGGGCATGGTGGCCCATGCCTATGATACCAGCGCTGAGGAGACTGAGGCAGGAGAACTGCCCTGAGATTGAGGTCAGCCTGCGCTATGCTATGTAGTGAATTCAAAGCCAAGCTGAACTACATGATGAGATTTTTGTCTCAGGAAAAAAAAAAAAAAAACGTGGGTGGGGGTGTGTGTATGTATGTGAAATATCTCTTTGTTCAACACTGATTCCCCTGAGTATTTTTGTTTTTGTTTTGAGGCAGGGTCCAGCACTGCTGTTTAGCCTGGCCTTGAGCTCATTACATAGCTCAGGCTGGCCTCAAACTTGTGGTGATAGGGTCGCAGGCGTGTGCCACCACGCCTGTGCATAATTATTCTTTTTTCTCTTTACGTTCACTGTCTTACTTTTTTTGCTGAGACAAAGTACCTGACGCCAAGCATTAAAGAGGGAAAGGTTTATTTATTTAGCTCATGCTTTGTGGAGGTTTCAGCCCACAATCTGCTGGTTCCAAAGCAGGGTGGCATGGAGAGGGGTGTACTGCTTGATACATTGTGTCAACTTGAGAAGTTTAAGAAGTTCAATTAAGTGACTCAGCAGAGAGCCAGGATTCTTAGTTTGTGAACATCCTCATTCTGTGCAAGAAGAGGGCATGAACATTGTGTGAGTTCTACACTCACTCCCAGCCCCAGGCTAGCTTGTTTATAGTATCAGGAGGGGAGAGAGGCTGGCTGGAAGCCGCAGCCGCTGCCCTTCCCTTTGCTCGTTGCTGTTCTCTGCTGCTGTGAACTGCTGTCCTCTGCCGTGTGCCACTCGGCCTGGGAGCCAGCTGAGTGCAGACTGAAACCTCTGCAAATTGTGAGCTAAATAAACCTTTCCTTTCTTAATTGTGGGTGTTGGGTATTTTGTCGCAGCAAGGAGTGAAAAGTAACTGAGACAAGGGGTAACAGTTATGGTGCTGGAAATAAAGCAAGCAAGCGAGGCCTGAGGACGGGATGTGGGCACAGGGCCAGGGATGCCTCTTACGATCCCTTATACTGTCTGTAGGCTGCCTGCTGAGGGTGTAGCACTGTAGCATGCACAACTATAATCCCAGCATTGGATGATGAACCAATCATCCAATCAATCATGAGGCTTTGGGAGACATCTAGACACACACCATACCATGACATTCTTATAATAGTATCACTACAGTGCCCACCAGTATGATTACTTAAAGCAGAAAGACTGCTTTCTCTTTCTCACTGTGTGGTTCGAACTTAGGACGATCCTTGTGCCTCAGCCTCTGGGTGCTGGGATCACAGGTGTGTGCCACCACTGTCAGCTGAAGAGACCTACCGTGTTCTGCCACCTGTAGTTGTGGTGCGTCTGCATTGTAAGACATACAGTCGTTATATATCCTAATCTCTGTAATGCTTTGTTCTTAACTCTGGGAGTACATCCCCATGTAGTGCCCGGCACTATTCAGTCTTTTAGGTTTTCTTGATCACTGGTGAGTAAATTTTTTTTCCCTGTATTTAGGGCATGGTCTATAGGGTCTACAGGGTCTCACTACACAGATTGGACTCAGAGATTCTGTTTACAGCCTCCCAAGTGCGCCACCACGCCCAGTCTCAATCGCTGTCCCAGTGCACCCTGCAGGTGGGGCTGGCAGTCAAACCCTGGCCGCTGCGCTCTGCTTAAGCAGGCGCTTCAGTCCGCTGAGCTATCAGGCCAGCCCCTTTGGTTAGTAAATCCTAAGAAAGGGTTTGTGAGATTTACTCCAGATTTTATATGTTGACGACAGTTCATGCTCTTTTACTTCAGTTTGTCAGGTAAAATTCTTGGGTCACATTGTGTCTTGAGTGTGGAAAATATGGTTTGGCCTAAAGCATTGTCATCAGACTTTGATAATTGTTATAATAGTTTTCTGTTCCTCATGAATGTGTTGGTTTTTTTTTTTTTTTTTTTTTTGCCTGTTTGCCCATGGGATTTTTCACCCAGTATTTTTTCTGTGCGTAGTTTGTTTTGGTCTTGGTATATGTTCTTTCATTACTTTAGTGTTACATAAAACATTTCATTCTGTTCCCTTTTTTAGATTTTCTTCTTTTGGGTACTAATCATGTGTTTTCTCTAGTTGTCAGTTTTGCGTGGATTTTTTAGTTCTTACTGAAACTTAAACATTTCCTCCCTTTTCTCTTTCATAGTAAGGTGTTACCATGTTTATTCAGAGGATATTTCTAGTTGACTCTTGAATTTACTCTTTCTAGAGTTTAAATCAAAATGTCTGAGTATTCTTAATTTTGGTTGGTCATAGTTTGTGTCATTTTCTTGATGTACCACTACTCGCTCCCTGTACTGTCACAGTTCTCACTGCTCTGCGGGCACATCTCTGGTGTGCTGTTGTTTGTGGGGATTGTGTTTGCCCATGTATCTGTATACACTTTTCAAGAATAAATTTGTGTGGAATTGACCTCGTGGCAGTGGTGGTGAGCCTGTGGCGTACGTGTTGCAGCCGGCCCGTTGTTACCATGAAAGCTCTGAGGGAGTCTCTGTCACTACTCTGCAGTGTCTCCTGTCTCTTTCATATGAGTTACTTTTCCAGTTCTTTTTAGGAGAGCTGGGTCTGCCTATTTTGTAACCCTTGTTTCTGTTGTGGTGGAGTGTTTAGAAATATCGCAGCTAATTTTCTGAGATCTACTCCCTTCACCTTTTTTCCTCCCCTCCCCGTTTATGTATTTGGTACAGGGTCTCACTACGCAGCTCAGACTTGTGATCCTCTTGTTTTCAGCTTCCCCAGAGCTGGGATTACAGGTGTGGGCCACCATGGCTAGACTTGGCTCAGCGCACCCCGGGGTAGGGCTGGCACGGCACGCAGGACGGGGGATGGAACCCTGGTCCCTGCGCTTGCCGAAGCAGGCGCTTAGTCTGCTGAGCTATCTTGCCAGCCCTCCCCTCTCCTTTTATCTGAACCTTACTTTTTTTTTTGAGACAGGGTGTTATTGTAGTTCAGAATGGCCTTGAACTCTTCTGTAGTCCAGATTGACCTTGAGTTTGTGGTGCTTCTCCTGCTTCAGCCTCCCAGGTGCTGGGATTCCAGGCATGTGTCAGCACACCTGGCTCTTGAGCCGATTATCCCATTCTATGCTGTGCTCCTGTGCTCAGTTCTGTTGTGATTGGCTTTTCGGTGGATTGTCCTCAGTGTGGAATTCTGCAAGTTCATAGCCTGCATGAGCCTTTTTTTCCCTGCATCATAATTGACACTTGCCCACAGTGAACGGAAGGAACTGTGCTCGGATTCCAGCTCTGCTGTCCACTGGGTCTCTGACAGAGCGCTGTGTCCCTCCATGGGAATGTTTTTGGATGATGTCAGGATTGTGTGGCGCCAGTGATTAATTTGAATTTTCTTGCCTTTGTGCCTCTCATCTGTTTACACAGTAATGAGGTAGCAGCTCGTTACATTTCATCCTGGTTACGCTATAAATAACAATGAAAAAACCAAGTAGGAAGCAGTTTATTTTTTAAAATTACTTAAAAAAGTTGTTTACACATGTGGATTTACATAACTTGGTGACAACATTTTAAAATGTACAGGCTATTTCATATTATTGCACTTACTCTTTAATATATAAGGCATTTTATTTTACATAAATAAAGGATAATGTATAATATCATACAACATGTGTGGTGCCAGTTAGATCAACCGTACAATTCAACGAGACGCGTGTGGGATGTTGGAAACGAAAACCCAGGCTCCTCAGCCTTCATGGTACATTCTTGCAACTACGATTTACATGTTAAACACATATTTACCCTCATAGCTCACTGTGGATGACTGACCAGATTAAAACAAAAAACAAACAATGGGAGTTTTAGTAGGACAATACCATTAGTGTTCACTTCAGGAAGTGTGGGAATTTATTAGACTAATTAGAAATACTAGTCATGCCTTGAACACCGAAGACAAATAAATAGCTCTCTATCTCAGGGTCAAAGACAGCTTAGTTTTTGCTTCTTGTCTCATTCCTCCTGTTGGCAGGGGAACCCTTCTGGCAAGACCAGAAGTTCCCCTGTACCCTTCAGACATGAGGATTAGGGACTCAGGACCTGCCACGTGGCTCCATTTTGCTCCAGAAATTCCTGTCTGATCACATATGACTATGAATTCCTTATCGACATAACTTAAGAATGGAGGACAAATTGGTTTTCAGTGTTGACTTCAAATCTCATCATTTAGGCAAGAAAGCAGAAACCATAAAACTGACCCCAGAGACTTAAAAAAACAATCAAGCATGCACCTTGCACTGACTTCCTATAGTATCCTACCTGTAACTGCAATGAAAAGTAGAAGCTAAATCGATCAGGTTTTCTAGCTAACTCCTGTAATACATATTCCTCTGTATAAGCTGTTGAAAAATGAGAAATCTGGGCTCGGGCCAGATACGTCACTCCCATCCGAGGGACCTCTCTGGGCTAGCTCCATAGGTATTTAGCAGGGAGCAGGGTAGGTCACTCAGAAAAATGATGTACAAAGGTGATAGCTCATGTATTTCTGCGGTCCAAGGCTTGTAGTTATAGACGTAGCTGTAAGTTATGTAAAGAAATCGCCAACATAAAATTTCAGCATCATGTGTTCAGGTATGACAAATGCAATCTCCACCCGTATTCCTAGGATTCAACGGGCTGGCCTGCGCCACCCGAGGATTTGGATTGTAACTATTGCATGATCTTTTACCTTGACTCACCCTGTTTTTCCATTTTTCTTCCTTGTTCTTTTGGTAAACCAAGCTTGTGAGGCTTTGGAATTTAGGAAAATAAGGTAGAGCGGGAGGGGAGAAAAGTGAAGGGACGGCCACTTCAAAGAAGCTAATGGCAGCCAGGGGAGTCTGACAAGCAGCATGAGTCACAATAGTCTTCAGGAAAAGTTTTGGCAAAAGGAAGAATTTGCAAAACAGGAAAAGAAACTTTCAGTCACCGCAGAGCTTTGTCATTGTACCAGATCAAAGAAAAGAGATCCATTACTCAAGTGTATTGGGAAGAGGGGAAAACGCAGACAGGTCTCCCAGGCTAAAGTCAAACATTTCAATTTGGATTTTAAATAGCCCACGTCTCTGAATCTAAGGGCACTAAAAAGATAGTTGATTGCTGAAATTTCAGTGAGTAAGTGGAGTGCATAAAATGTAGAAATTGGTGACTGAAAATTTTGCCTGCTTTTGGGAGAGACTAGTCTTGAATTCTAGCACTTCCTCAAGACCAGTTTGAAGCTAGATGCAAAGTGCTTGCAGATCTGGAACTTCCTGCTCCGTCCAGCAGCGAAGTTCGCAGCTCTTGTAGTATCGTTTCACGGGACTGTTACTCTGTAAAACAGCTGTATGACTTAAACTTGCAGAAGTAGAAAATGATCAGTACTTCATAGTCAACTCATTGAGTTGAACTCTGCATCCATACATTGTACAGTACACTCATTAAAATACTTTCTGTATTTTGCTTTTTCAGTTAATTCCTGGGATAATTCCTGAGCTCAGCCTACTTACTAGGTCATTATTCATTTTCTTTTCAGGGTAATATCTACCTAGCTATAGCTCCTCTTTCCATCACATGTGCCTAAGAGCACTGTATCATTTACTTACAAAATTATATTAAACTATAGTCTTAGCTGTGACACGTGTCACCCCTCGGGTCCCTCCCTACTCAGGATTATATGCTGGGAGATGATGGGGCGAAGGCGATGTGGAGGTGTAGCTAGGTGTGTCAGATAAAGAAGGGCATGTCACCTTGTGTATCCCCCGCCAACGTAAGAGGAGGGGACAGATAGGCACTGGAACAAAACACCCCCAGCCTGGTAATCCAGGTGAACAGCTTCTGGAGTTTACCTTCGTTGTTGGGGCAACACAACAGGTCAGACTTCGTGTGTAAGGACAAAGTTGGGAAGTTTTGTATCCTGGTCTCTCCCATTGTTGTCTCAGCCCGTCATTTAAGTCATTTTGATTTGCTAAAATATGAGAACTGAGGAAAGGTATTTGTTAAAATTCATGATGAATTCCTATGCTTTCTAATTACCAACTGCACAGGTCCTTCTGGAACAGACTTGAGAATATTCCAGGCATCGAAGTGCATGAGCCCAACCAGGGGTTTCCCATTAATAGCAAGAATTTCATCTCCAGCTTCTATTGTTCCAGCTTGCTCTGCTGCACCACCTGCTAGAACAAACACAAAGTAAGGGGCGTGGCATTTTCGTAGTGTTCAAAAGAAATTCTAAGCAAAGAATTTAAATGAGAACAACCCCTACATGACATGCCTGTGTTCTAAAGACAGGCAGCTGTACGGCTTGTGTCTAGGTGTCTCCCAAAACCTCAGGCAGATTGATTTGTGGTGCACAACTAGGATGCAGGGTGGGTGATTACTACACTAGTCCACTGATCAGGCTTGGTGCCGCCCTAATCGAGGTAGTCTGGCTAGAATATAAAAGGGGCAGAAGCAAATCGCTGAAGTCCTTTGCTTATCTTGCTGCCTTCTGCCCTCTGTGAACCGTTTCTCCTCTGCGTGCCTCCCCTCTGCCACACCCCTCCTGCCTTGGAGCCAGCTGATTATGGACTGAAACCTCTCCAAACCGTAAGCCAAAACCCTTTCTTCCTTTAACTTTGGGTGTTATTTTTCTTGTTGCTGAGACAAAATATCCAAGACAGTGACTTTGTATCTTTTGGAGCCAGATCTCACTATATTGTGTAGGCTGGCCTCAAATTGGAGATCATCTTGCCTCAGCCTTGGGATTAGCTGGGATTATCAGCATGCGCTGTTGTGCCCAGCTTCAGAAATAAGTAGCTGAAGTCCATTAGTAGCCAGCTAACCCAGGAAAACAGGCTCAACTTTCTAGTTCAGTTATTGGTAAGCTCTGAGAATCAGTGAGGGTGGAGGGTACTTGTTACCTAACACAAAGCTTCAGGTAGTTCTACCTTACAGCTTTGTGTAGGTTACAGCAAATTTACTAGCTCTGAAAAGACAAGTTGAAAGCCTCTTTGTTCACTTTCCTGTACACAACCTCACTAAGGAGGCATCGCAGGGAAAACACGGTGCTGAAAGGAAAATTCCAAAAGGATGAAAATAGAAATTAATGTTCTCAGAAATCTCATCGAGTTCTCAAGAGGCTTAGATCTTAAATTTCTGAAAGTTAAATATTTGGTATTTGTACACGTGTAGTTCAAGTTGCTTATAAAATTGTTAAGAAAAACACAACTTGGAAGAAAGTGAGAAGCTCACACGCCAGCCAAGGATACCCTGCTTAATGCTACAGGGAGATACTGTGGTCAGGAGAAAGGCCTCGCCGCTAGCCACGCTATAATAGAAGCAATGGGGGTGCCTGAGTGACAGTCCTTGCTTTCTCAGGACAGGTTCTTAGAAGCACTGAAGCACAGCTGTTGGACACAACCAGTCGTATTTGTGACAGCACACCCTACATCTGGTCTAAGGGCCAGGGAGATAGCTCAGGAGAATAAGCGCTTGCCTGGCAAGCGCAGGGTCCTGAGTTCAATCCCAGTACCACCAAAACAAACAAAAGAAACCAATGAAAGCAAGCAGAGGCTATGTAGGGCCACGCGTTAGACTAATAGTAGAAGTGCTCTCCTACATCTGGTCTAGTGTTAACCAGAGGCCTACAGCAGGGCGGATGAAGCCAAAGAAGCTCCACTCCACCCACACGGGCTGCGTTAGCGGAGGCACAGCAGAGAGCTGGCAGCTGGGCGTTGGTCTCAAGTCTGTGACCTGGCAAGGTACATATTTCTCTCAGCCTTGTTACCTAGGTGATGGTAGGGTCTGTCTTATGTCCTAGGATGTTAACGAGGGTTGGAAGTGGCTGGACATGGTTTGGGATCAGTCTGCTGCACAGACCAAGGGTGGTGCCAGCCTTTGGGTTTACATGAGAGAGAAAGTAAACCACTGTTATTTTTTTTTACACAAGGCCAGCTGAATCTTATCTGATTGAGCAGGATGCTTGTCTCCATTTACTGTATTTAGAAAAATTCTTTAGAAAGCTTTTATGGTTTTGTCTAGAAATGTTTCCCATAGGTTTTGTTTGGCACAGTCAGGACTTTTGCAGTTGTTATGAATTAGTATCACACAGTGCGGAATCTACATTTGTCTTGTGTTACTCTATACTGCTTTCTGTTGTTTTTTGAGACAAGGTCTCACTGTGTATTCTAGGCTGGTCTTAAACTAACTGTAGCCTCAGTCTTTCAGCAATCCTGGCTCAGCCTCTCAAGTGCTGGGATTACAAGCATGCACCATCACACTTGGCTTTACACTGAGCTAGTCTTGTTTGATATTGTAATCCTCATTTATTTCTTTAACTGCCACATACTGTTCCTTTTTAGGAATACATTTCTTATGCCTCTTTTTTTTTCCTCAGAACCGGGGATTGAACTCAGGCCCTTGGGCTTGCCAGGCAAGTGCTTATTCTACTAAGCCATCTCCCCAACCCCCCCCCTTTTTTTTTTGAGACAAGTCTCACTATGCAGTTTAGACTGGCTTTGAACTCACTAAGTAGCCCAGGTTGGGCTTGAGCTCTTTAGTAATCCTCCTGCTCAGTCTTCCAGTGTTGGGATTATAGCTGTCAGCTGTCAGCCGTCAGCCGTCACCCCCAGCCCTATATATATTTTTCCTAATCAGGAAGGAGATGCAGTTCTCTAGTAATGTCAAACTGTACCCCTGTCTTTCTAGTTTTTATACTTTGTGTTTTCTTAACTTTTTGTCTGTTATTTGGTCAAAGGAGGAAAGGAGAAACATTTTTAGAGCAGTCGAAATACGTAACCACTAGTAAAAGGTTCTAATTATTATCTGGATGGTTGGGATTTCACCGGATGTTAAAAATAACTATTGACTAATTTTTTCATGCATAAAGTTGCTTATCTTCAATAAAGCTTAAGGAAAGTACAGTATTAGATCTTTTGTTATTAAAAAAAGTATTAGATTTGTTGCAAAAAATTAGTGCAGGGTATCACTCATCCAAAATGCTTGGCATTTGAGCTGTTTCACATTTTGGAATACTGGCATAGAGTTCACTAACATCCAGCCCTAGTCTAAAATTATCTGAAATGCTCAACTGTATTGCTGTATCACTTTCCTGCTGTTTGAGCTAAAAGGTACAAGGAAACTAAATGAACAGAAAAAATGAAGTATAAGCTCCAAGGTAAATGGCACACTCCTGTAATGCCAGCACTTGGGAGGCAGGAAGTTCACCACGTGGGTTCAAGGCCAGCCTGGGCACTGTGAGGCCCTGTCTTAAAAAACAAAACAAAAACAAAAAACAAGATCAAGACTGAAAATCTTTAGATAAACTACTCTAAGTCTGTACTTATTCACTAGTTTCCAATAAAGAGTGGAGGGACTTTCATATAACATTCCAAAGGACTTGAATGTCTTTCCAAATTTTAACAGTATGAATGTTTATTCTTTCAGTTCTTTAGTATTTTACACTTTTCGCCATATGTTTTTTTTTTTGAGACACAGTCCTGCTGTATAGCTCAGGCTGGCCTTGAACTCGAGGTAACCATCTGGCCTGAGCTTCCCAAGTGCTGGGATTACAAGTGTGCACCACCGCACTGGCCTTGAATGCCTTTTCACTAGACTGAAACAAAAGGCTTAGGGCTGGGGGAGGAGGTCAGTGACAGTGTGTGAGGCTCTGGTTTTAGCCCAGCATACAAAGCTGCAAAAGTCAGAATCTCTCAGGCTTGTCCACGAGAGCACCTAGAAGAGGCGGGGGATGAGAGCCGTGCAGTGAAGGATGGGGATAACCGTGAAAGAGATGCTTCTTCCTAACCCACTGACGAAAAGTTCCCAGACATTTCTGGCTACATTCTTTTTTTTTTTTTTATTTTTTATTTTTTATTTTAGGGAAGGGCCTACAAGGTGTTCAGGGTCTCACTACTAGATCGGACTCGGAGTGATGTGCCTGCTTCCAGTCTCCCAAGAGCTGGGATTACAGGTGCGCACCACCATGCCCAGGCTACTGGCCACGGTCTTGATGGAGGTGAAGTTACCCAGTACTGAGCATGCACAAAGCTCTAGGCTTGGCCCCGACACTGCTTACGGCCACAGCGGGAGGCAGAACACAGGCACAAGTCATGGGTGAGGCCCCTGTTGGGCCTGGACCTACCTTGATTTAGCACTACCAAGATAGAGTTAATCTGTTGCGTCAACAGCAGTAAACACACTGACCACGCAAAGGCGAGTGTGAGCAAGGCAACCGTCGCCTGCCCTCGAACCATGGGGACATTTTCCATTCCCCCTCACCTTTTTTTTTTCTGGTGGAACCAGGGATTGCACTCAGACCCTTGTGCTTGCCAGGCAAGCACTTATTCTACTGAGCCATCTCCCCGGCCCCCCTTGTGTTGTATTTTGCTTTGCAGGAGACAGAGCGGGAAGCCTTTCATCCTTCCTGGGTTCTTTGTCTGCCTCGGTGCTGCAACTGTTGTGCCCCTGCGCCTGGGTGCTGCTTTAGCCTGCTGAAGCCCTGGACCTAGGCTCATGGCCTTCTGGCACCTTTTTGGACTGTGCCGTGTGACCAAGCACAACTCCAGAACTCCAGTGTCCTTCCTGAGTACATCTTGAAAGTATTTCCATTTATCGTCAAACTTCAAGCATAGTTTAGCTGGCTACAATGTTTTAATTTTATTTATTTATTTATTTGTGTGTATGTGTGTGTGTGTGTGTGTGTGTGTG